GCCCCATCCCCTGCCTGCTCCCCCAGCCCCCCTGACCCCCCACCCACTCCCCAAGCCCCCCAACCCATGGCTGGTTCCACCTGCCCCAGGTCCCAGTGCTTTAAAAAAAAAAGCTCCCACTCACCAGCTCCTGCAGCAGCCTCAGGGCTTTGGGGGGCCCATGCAGAGCCCCCCATGCAGCATGGGGCAGTGGGGGGGGGCAGCAGGGGTTGCCCCCCCGCCTGGCAGCACCCTGTGAGTCGGGGCTTTTTTTTCCCCCCCCAAAGTGCTAGGCACTGGGGCAGGCGGGGCAGCCATTGCTGGGCTGGGAGAGCAGGCGGGGGATGGGCCTGGGCAATTCGGAGATTCGGCAGCAGCCGAATCTCCAAATGGATTCGGAACAGTGATTCGAATCACCCAGTTGAATCGCTGTCCCCTGAATCAGCTGAATCCTAAGCGAATACTAGCTGCTTCACACAGGCCTAAGTAGAAGCTGTTGCAATAGGCTGAAAAACTGGGCCTTTGGTGCTGTGCTTAGAGAAAAGATGAGAAAAATATGTTAACTTGAACTGTACTAAGAGAAGGAAATTTCTTTACCATTGGCAAAACCAGCAATAATACCACAGTGTGCTTAAGCCTGAAAAATCTATACCTTGACCCGGCATGCAAAAAGTGGTGGAGGATTTTGTACCCATCTCTCATCCATGAGACTGAGTTTATCATTTTAAAAAATCATAAGGAAACATTCCTAAATGATATGCTAAAAGTACTGCAGTGCATCATACAGGAATGTTGATTTTGTGTGCGGTGGACAGTGCTAGTGCCATTTATACTCATTTTCTTTAAAATGCTCTATAGGAATGACAGTGGATAGATGGATTCTGAGTTATGGGTGCATTGAGTATGTGGAGAACTGCGAGTAGTGATCACTTGTAATGAGGACAGTAACCTTGGCACAAGATGCTTCCTAGGAATTGCTGTAATGAGTAGCTACAGTTAATGGTCCTTTCCTAAATTTCAGGGTGTCGGTCTCTTTGCAGGTTGTTAATCCCCTAGAAATACCCTGTCTCTACTATTACTACTGGAATACGCTTTACACATCAGTGATTGCTGCTTATAATGCTTTCTGTTTTACACTTACTACTCTGAGATCAATGTGGTATTTTTACTTCTATGTTTCTATCCATATTATTTCTTTTGAAGGTGTAAAAACTGCTTTGCTATAGCAATAAAAGATATAAAAAAACAGAAAAGTACAATTTAAAATTAAATCTAGCTACTTCTACTTGTATTCTCTGATTCATTTTTTAGGCTTTTTCATCAGGCCTTTTTATAAGATGATGCTGGGGAAACCAATAACTCTGAAAGACATGGAATCAGTGGTAAGTGAACATTTAAATCTTACTAGTATTGTCAATTATGTGAAATTCTCCTCTGGGGAAATTATAAAAGCTAATACTTCCAGTAAAAACTGTGTAATGGCAAACAAGCTTAGAGCTATGAGAATTTGGGAACCACACCTGTCTCTTTTAAATCAAGTAGTCATTTATGTCTGCCAAGGTACTGATTGTTAGAGTAGCACACTTAAAATGGGGGGGTGGGAAATAAGTCAGTAAGGGAAAACAATATGAGATAGTGTATTACACTTTACATTTTCTACTATGTTGCTTCTCTTCCCACTATTAGTAGAACCACTGACAAGTGGTATGTTCTACAGCTAAGCAGCTCTGATATTGGAGAGGAGGATAAGTTTTGGTTTGCTAAATTGACCTAGTCTTTCTGAAGAAAGCAGAAAAGTCAGCCATAGTTGTGGAGGATGAAAAAGGTAGTCACCTGCTGGATAATTTTCTACTCGACAGACTCAGTGCCTGTAATATAAGCGTTGTTTTTATTTATGCCTCTGATCCTTCCTTTGTGCATTTATCAGTCCCCCCAGTTCCTCACCTGTCCATGAAGTGGTGTCAGGCTCTTTAGTACTTCGCCCTTCTAAGGGAAAAGAGATTTTTTTCTCAATAGTTACAGGCTCACTGATACTGCCTGATGCTAATTTGGCTAGCATTTATTCATAGAACAGGAGTTCACATTGCAAAGTAAAGGAGCCTTTGAGATGTAATATCACTTTCCGCCCCCAGCCTAGACATAACATGTATCATAGTTGAAAAATTCTAAATATAACTAATAACTAGTTATGTGATGTCCATGAAGTTGTGGTCTCAATTAAGGCAGTGTGCTGATACTATTCCTGTCTCCTTCTAATTCTTTGGGTTCTTTCTAATTCTCCCATCATAACCACTGTTCAGTATCTTTCCTGCATCTTACAGATCTATTCTGAGATCTGTCTTGGGGTGGCAAAAAATCATCCTAACCTAGGGGCTTTCAGCCTTTTTGGATCAGTGTAGCCCTGGCGGCCAGATGTGGAGCCTGGGGGGCATGTGGCCAAACATGGAGTGGCAGCAGCCGCCGCGTGCAAGCTTCCCCCGTGTCTGGCCGGACAGGTGGTGTCTGTGTGGCGGTGTGGGGTGGTGCATCTGTCCCCACCCACTCATGCATACCCCCTAGGACCTTCTCAAGTATCCCCGGGGGTATGTGTGCCCCTGGTTGACACCCCCTGTCCTAAGCTATTGCTCTTCCTGAAATTAGATGCAATACCAACTCTCCCAATTAGCTGTTAGCTCTGCAACAGCTCTTCTGATTTTCTTGACAGTTTGTTCAGTGGAAAAAGAGCTGGACACAATTGATTTTTGATCTCAAGTGTCATTGCTGTTTTTCAGTCACTGGCACATTGCAATGAAAGCATTGCTTTAAAAATGTGCTTAATTGGCTTGACCTCTGCTTCCTCTACCATCATCTTTGTCATAATCACTAGGCTTTAGCTGGCTAGTTCTTGCATTAAGGACACATGCATAAATCCTATTCTGATCTTATTTTAAATGAAAACTTTGCATTTGGTCTCTTGACTCTGGTTCTTAACTTTAAAATCTGTGGTCACATTTACAGGTGAGATTTTCCATTTTTCCTTTTGGCTTGTTCTGCAAGGACAAATGTTATGACATGAGCCTTCTGGAAAAATACATGGGATCTTGTTGTGGTTGAACTTTTTTAAGGTTTCATCACTTTAATTATAAACAACTTAATAAAACTATCAGCTTTAATATGGTGGTGATCTTTGTTATGTATAATATGAAGCTTGGTCTAGAAGTAGGAAATACTATCAAGCTATTATACCTTTCTAATTTGAGGTATTTTTTGTGCAACTAACATAATCATGAACAAATTAAGGCACATATATGAAAAAAATATAGTATTCCAGATGGGTATAATGTAAATTAATAATGCAAGTTGTCTGATCTCTAGTATATTGCACCAAAATTCAAGGGAAGACTTTATGGATATCAGTCTGTTTTCCTTATTTCTAGAGACTTGATTGTTAGGTTTATTTTTATTACTTACTTGAAACTAGGTTCTAATAGTCTATACATATAATATTTTTATTCTCAAAAAGTGCTTAACTAACCTATGCTGTTGCTATAGGATAGTGAATATTACAATTCCTTGAAATGGATCCTGGAAAATGACCCAACAGAGCTGGATCTCATGTTTTGCATAGATGAGGAAAACTTTGGACAGGTATGTATGGGTTATCAGAAATTATCATTAATATGATTTCAGAATGGTGTTTTCCTCCTCCCTCCCAACCACCTCCAAGCACTAATATTTTCACAACGGGTAATTTAAGTAGCATTTAAGACATGTATTAATAATGTCTATTCATATGCAGGGTTTGAATTGTGGTCTCTCTTTCTTCCTAGGCTAGCTAAGATTATAGGAGAGCTAGAGAAGACCAGTGGTGAGAGGTGCTTCGCATCACAAAGCATCAGCCCTCCCAATAGATTAAATTCTGATGGTGGCTGCTACTGAACGAAGTGTTGTGCAGTACTTGTCTTAGAAAAATATGGCCTCTATCTGGGACATTCAGGGTTGTAAAGAAAAGGAGAAAGTCTATGCTTTATGGTTCTGGTAGAATCATAAAAATGTCTCTGTAATGTTAAGTCAAAGGTGGTTGGGGAAAGGAGAATTAAAGGGTGGAATTAAAAGTCGAACGTTTTGCTTTGGTTAGCACATTCATTAGGCAGATACCACAGAAAGAGACTTTGTATCCAATAATTCTCTTAGAAACCACAAGTGTAACACCTTGACATGCATTTAGCAGTCAGATAAGACTAAAGAGAAATAATTAAGTAAAGTACAGCTTATCAATAGAAGTTGCTCTTCAGTTTTCTGGTGCAGCAACATATCCTTAAACCAGAGATGCTCAACCCCTGGCCTGCAGGGCAGGTCCAGTCCCTGGCACTGTGGTGCTCCCTACAGGTCCGAAAATTTTCCAGTGGGGGATCAGTGGCACCACTCCACTGCTGCAAAATTTCCACACCCATGCAGAGCCCCATGGGCCAGATTGGGACCCTGCATACTAGATTGGGTGTGCAGGGCCAGATGGGGGCAGTGCAGTCTGATCCCAGTATGTGGGGGCTGGGTGGGACAGTATGGCCTGATCCCAGCACACAGGGGTAGCGTGGTGCAGGGCCCTGCACCTGATCCTAGTGGCCAGGGGTGACATGGGGCCTCAGACCTGTATGTTGGGGCCCACTGAGGCAGCATGGAGCATGATTCTGATGCAGGGGGCACAGTCTGACCCGTGGACCATTCCCACACCACTCATCTGGCCTGCAGGGCCAAAAGGTCAAAAACTGTTGCCTCAAGCTATTATAGTTTGTCTCTGTGTTATCAGTTAGCCCCTGGAAATTGCTGATCTTATTTTATCAAAGCACAGTTCATGGGTATAGACCAGTTTTTGAATGGAGGTGGTCTGAGGTGGTCCTTGGCCAGGCGATGCATATAAAAGCTTTGTGTGCAGAGACAGGTTTTGAGTTTTCTCCATGAGGGTGGGAAATTAAATGCATGTGATCTTTACTAGTAGATCTGCCTCAGCTGGTAACTTTTTTCCTCCCCTATTATTGTTGATTTCAACTAGCTATGGAGTTTAGATATTTCACAAGTGTGTGCAGGCAGCTACATCTTTTTAAATGATGTAAACATCCCACATTTTTGTCTAGTAATGTTTATAATTCTTTGCAAATATACTTTGTGTTGTCTACACGTGTGTGTGTGTGCATGCGCACACACACGTATGTATTTGAATCTTTAGCATAGCTTTACCTGTTTTTATCAGGCCTCTTGATTTCCAGTCCAGTCACTATCTTACCTTTTCCCTAAAACAAGATGGAAAAGAGTTAAACTTTGAGACTACACACACACACACACACACACACACTCTCTCTCTCGCTCTCGCTCTCGCTCACTCTGAAATTGGGAATGCTTTGACCTAGTTTCCATCTAGTACTACTCTCACTACTGCAACTTCTACTGTTTCATTTTCTAAAAACATAAGGAAAGCATTAAAGCAATAAGCTGAAAAGTAACATGATGGGTGGAGCTTCATTTTTGTCTAATTTACCTCCCTTTAGGTATAGGATATTATTCATAATGAATCTCATTTTATCTGCAGCCATCTCTGACTCTAGGTCACTTTGGTGTCATTTCTGTTCCTTTAGTAGTAAGGCTATTTTTATTCAGAGAGAATTTCTTTTTATTGTCTTCAGCCATCTGTTCTGACTGTAGATGACTTTGCAGGTTGGTTTCATTACTGTCTCTGCATCCCACCGCTCTCTCAAAACATGCTTATTACCCCTACTTTTGATGTCATCAGCAAATTTGATCTTGGCTTGATACTTGTAACTGAAAAAAAAAATGACCGGTTCTATTTTTTTATGCAGCAGATTTCCCATTGAATATTCCCATTGTGCAGCAAAATTCTCATGGAATAGTCAATGGGACTATCAACACACACTGTGAGAAGACTAGAAATTAGATGCAAGCACAGTGGCATAACTAGAGCAGGGCAAATAGGGCAAAAAAGAGTGGCTGCTGTCCCTGTGCCCTGGCTGCCCAGCTGCCTCACTACACTACTAGGCAGGTCTAGGGCGTGTGTCTTTTTCATGTTGCAGATTATGTGGAAATGCTTTGTGTACCACTAGTAGGCAGCAGGCCACAGTTTGAGACTAGGCTGATTTATTATGTGTATAACTTAGCTTCCTTTCTTCTCAATATCACTCTCATTGGGAATTTCTTTGTCATGTTTTACTGGATGCAAACAAATGTAATACGACTTCTACATGGCTTTTGCCATATTCAGGATATAAAAACTGGTGAATGATTACATAAATTGTACATGTATAAGAATTCCATAGAAGGTGGCATTGCCAATATGTGTGTGCAGCATGTTGAGTTGTTTTCTCTTCACCCTCTGTAAAGGAAAAACTGTTTTCTAAATGAATCCATTGAAGAAATGTTTAGATACTATTTACAGTATTTCTTCAGATCATCTATCCAAAAATGTGCTGTTTTCCATATTTGTTTTTGGTAAAGTGGTATACTAGCGACTCTGTTCTATTGTTTCTCTTGTCAAATAAGAACTTCAGTTTTCAGTGGCAACACAGCTTCCCAGTGCTATATTCTGGGTGTGCCGCCACTCAATCTTAAGGTATCCAATTAGGGAATAATAGACTTCATATAAACCCATTCAGTACCTCTCAACTGAGGTGCACTAGCTCTAATGCTGGTCTCTCTGTGTGTCTCAGGAGCTGGACTAAAACCAGACCTCCTATTAGAAAGACTAGATGCCCAACAAAACTATCTCAGGGTTATCTGACTACAGTCATTTCATTGTGATAGAAAAGAGAAAATGCTGCTTTCACATTCAACATTCATCTATTCTTTTGCTTGCAGGATGCTGATAATATATGGCAGCTGAGTCTTTAGTAGACAGTATTAGAATTTTACCTTTTTCTTCAAGAAAAGACCTACAAGTATGTTAAAAGGAAGTCATTTAGGTTGCTAAGTCAAACGTTTGAAAGTTAGGAAATGCCATATTTACAGTTAGCTCCATAATGTTAATTCTCTCTCCTGTGTGGAGGTAATAGTCTTTTGGCATACCTTTTTTCCCTCCCCAGAGGACACCTGTATCACTGTCATTGCACAGGTCAGCTACAGAAAGTTGCAGAATTGAGGTTGTGTGTAGGTTGCCCACTAGCCTATTCTTATTCTAATTCCTTCTTTAATGAAGGATTTTGGTAACTATTACAAATGATTCTCATTTGTTAGGAATGTAGGAAGGAACTACACAGTGGCTATTTTGAAGATGCAAAGAGCCTAACGGGTTCTTTAAAAATAGGAAAAGAAAAGACCTGTGTTTATGCCATGTTCACAGCTCTTAATGACCAAGATATTACTTACCATTGGCTAAATGCTGCGCAGTTTCTGATGACAGGAGAGGCACAGGCAACAGAAACTCACCCCGCCACTTCTTGCATGCCATTATTTGTGTCTGTGACCTAAATATCATTATCCCACATGCTCTTGACAGGGTAGCTGGTTTGTGGTTTGCCTTTTCTTGTCTTTTTTGACCTTCAGGGTACTGCACAGCTGGGAGTCTGTCTGCTCTGAGTGCTGTACATTATTGATAGATTTTTATCACCTCTTTCCTCAGCTCCATTTTAATAGGCAATTAGTTTAGTTTATTATTTCCCTAGCTACTAGGAACTCTTGAAATGAAAATGTTAAGAAATATATAATAGGGAAGTCAACAGCTTTACTGAACCAGGCCCGGGCTCCACTACAATTCACTCTTTAGGACTTCAAGGTAGAAGGTAGCCATGTTTAGTTACACCTGAAGTCAAACAGTGCCTGCCCGTCCTTGTCTCCCCTCTGGATCAAAAACAGTCCAATCACATATATCCTGCACTAGAATGAGTTAATTAGGTCTTATTATGTCTGCAGTATGATTAAATACCTAATCACAGCGTGACCTGAGTTTAAAGTAATGCTTCTGAAGGATTCTCTGCAGGCTTGCTGCTGTTTTGCCTATTCCCGAGGGTTGTTCAGGAATGTTCAATAAATATTTTCCTAAGGCCCGTGGAGAAATACTTCGGTTACTTTTTCCTCTGTAGTTGCTTCTCTGGAGCATGTTGTTTCATGCCTCTTCTCTCTGGGTTCCATCACCTACTCTGTTCGTCAGTGAAAAGATACTCATTTTATGTTGTGTGGGGTGTCCATCCCATATAGTTTTTGTTGAATTTTGTCAATTAATTTCCTTCTCTTAGACCATTTACTGTAGTTTACTGTAAATCCTTAAACATTTCTAGTGATAAAGTATCTGCTAATGAGTGGGGAAATGAGTGGCTTTGAGGGGGGGTTTCTCTTCAGCAGCTCTAGAACTGTGCTATCAGCAGAAACATTTTGTAGCTAGCAATTTATTTTAACAGCAGTATCTATCATGTTCTTGTCTCTTTGACATATCAGTTTCAGGATGGTCTGTGTTCTAGTTTTTCTTTCTAACTCCTCAAGATATTTGTCTAAGACTTCTGATAGCTGTCCCCCACTTCATCTAACCCAGTGGTCCCCAGCTGTTCTAGGTTGCAAGCTGTATCAGTGGTGCAGGGTTGGTCTGTGGGCTGGATCCAGTGCACAGGATAGGTCCATGGGTCTGACCCAGCGTGGGGTCACCATAGGTGCCAACTACCAACTTTTATTTTTATGGGGTGGGGGGGCCCTAAGATGATGCCTCTTCCCCCCCCCCCCCCCCACCTGTGACACCACTGGAGCAGAGCTCAGCAGAGCCGGGGGGGTGGGGGGGCACAGATGCAGGGTGCCTGATTCAGGCTTGGGGCTCCTAACCATGCTGCCCTCCCCCAAGGAGCCCCATGCTAGCCAAGGTGCAAGGTACCCCTTGCCCATCCCGCCGCAGCCCTCCTGTGCCCCACTTCCTGGGAGTGTGTGCAGCAGCAGGGAGCTACCTCCGCCCCTGGATGAGCCACTTGTGGCTCTGTCCCACTCCTCATCCCAGCCCTGGGCCCCATGCACCACCCTGGCTGGGCAATGCCCCCAGGCCCAGCCCCTTCCCCACTTTCTTCCTCACTGTGGGGGCCTCAATCTGTCCTGCACCCCGCTCTCTCCCCTCATAGACTTACCTTGCAGGCAGCTGGGGAAACTGCTGTCCACTGCTGCCTGAAGCTGTATTCCTGGCCACGTGCATGTGTGCATGTGGACATATGCTCAGAGCACCGCCTGCATCCTACTCTCTGGAGCCCCTTGGAAAACCCACCATTTCCCACGTTTTTCTGCAGTGAATGGAAAATCTGGATCCCTGCATGATACTGGCGATTTGGGATAAATGCTGTCCTGAAGTCATGCAGCCTGGGATGGGGACTTGATGTTCCTGTTTCAGTGCTGTCCTGCCCAGTTCAGGACAGGTGGTCATCCTGTCCTCTTCCTGAGGGGGGCCAGGGCCCTCAGGGCCCCTACGTACTTGGTTCCAATAGGGTCAGCATGTGGTCCTAGTCTCAGTGAGCTGAATAAGACTTAAAGCTCCTGGTCTTGGCTCTAGCCCCAGCCCCATGAATGCCAAATTAGGCCTGCCGTGCCAGCTGCAGCCTTGCACGTGGCAGATCAGGCCCGCTGCCCTGGGTCTGCAGGTGCTTCCCCAGACCTGATTATGGGGCTTTGTCACCTGCCTCATGAGGCTTGGAAATTTGGCAGCATTAATTGCCATGTTGGGGAGCCCCATGCACTGGAGGTTGAGCACCACTGGTCTAACCTGCAGTACTTTTTTGTCACCCACATAAATAGTGTTCTGACTATTTCTTTTATTTAGCCTTTCAGTGTGAAATCTTTTGGGGGAGAATTCAAAAGTGAATTTCAGCTCTGCTTAATAATAGGGGACAGGCTCTGCCCCTAGCAAAACCCTAATAAGGGACTACACATATTTGGTGGAAAAAGCAGTGTCTCATGAGATCCACAGGGCACGTGAGGGGATGATGTGCATCATCGACCTCTGCACTGACCCCAAACATGTGAAATGTGCCCCCACAAGGCGTCTGAATAAGGAGAAATTGGGCCATAGAAATCAGTAACAACTCTTCAGGATAAAGGGGATCATTTGTGCTTGGAGAAGAGAGGAGAACAATCTAGGCTTCACTGTCTGCAACCTTATTAACCTACTCTCTGAATATTTGCATTGGGTTTATCTTTGGAAAAGGATGGTCAGCAGTAGTCAAAAAGTGCAGCCAACTTAATATTTCTTTACTAAATCAAAAATTAAATTGCATGCAGCTTTGTATGAAGCAGAGTTTGGTGCAGTTCAAGAAAGATGAAGGCAGTGGTGCCACCTTTACGTTACTTGGTATCCAGTGTGAGTCTGTCATTAACATTAGTAGATGAATCCAGGTACATCTGCCAGTGAACCTACTGGTGACTACACAGGAAAATCCTTCCCCTGCTAGTTGAGCTGATATTGTAAAGTCGGTAGAACAGTCCAAAGCATCATTTAATGTCTTGGGATATGTCTCGGGGGGGGGCGCAGGGGAGACTAATCCAGGATTCACTACACAGCCAATCTGTGTTCTTTACTCAATAAACTATTTCTTACTGAATTTCATTAATTTAATTCTTTACTAGCTCAAATAGTAAACACAAAATGTAGCCTCGTCTGCTCATTTGCTACTGAAATATGGTATATAATTCAGGCTCTTAAATCATACAACAAGTTGTCCTCAGTGACACTGTCTTTAACTATGAAACATCTTGATGCATTATTAAGTAATTTGCCATTTTGAATAGACAATCAAAATGAGGGAAAAGGGGGAAGAGAGGGGTTTTTCATTAAAGGAAGTAGTTGAATAGATACTTACGTAAAAAATATCTTTTGGGCAACTTCTAGCACTCTGCCTAAATATAATATATCGTGTGAAATATTTCTGGAAATAATTTCCTGTTTTGTTTTGTTTTTTTTCTTTTAAAATAGACTTATCAAGTTGACTTGAAGCCTAATGGATCAGACATCATGGTAACAAATGAGAACAAACGGGAATATATAGAGTACGTATGTACTTATGGCATTCCTTTCAAAATCTAACAGACCAGAAAAGGGTTTTAATGCACAAGGCACTATATTGTGTAATATAAATTCTGTTGGAAACAGATTGTCAGTGAGAAGAATTCTTTTTGTTAATATCAATTTGCTGAGAGCTGGCTCTTTGCTTGTTTAAATTTTAATATTCTAAATCATTCTACAAATTATACCTAAGGCTAATGAACTCCATACTACTAGTTTTCTTTTTGACATTTTGGCAGATCAAACAGTCAAGACTTGGGTCACTGTCTATTCTGGGTGCTTTAGTTACTCATATAAAATCCAAACCAGAAACAGGTCTAGATCTAAGCAATAATATCTTATTTGGTTGTATTCTCACAATATGTAGTTAGCATATCTTAAAAAAACAAAAACAAAACTTCACATAAAAATTTGAGGGATTTTTCCCCCCCCTTCCACTGCAAGTACTCAAGTTGGTGCGTACTCATACTTGCACTCACTCATACTCATATGTATGTAACTAAACACATTGACATAAACACACACGCACTATGCGCACATCTACATTTAAGTGCGACTAAATTTAATGTGCATTAAGTGATTTTTGGCAGGTGTCTACACAGGAAAGCACTTGGGACTAAAGTTAGTCCGAGGTCCTTGCAGTCCTGCCATGTGCCTGTATGGCCACCGGGGGGAGCTCCAGCCTCTGGCTACATGGCTGCCAGCTGAGCCAGCATCTAACACAGCCATCTGGGAAACTGATCCCTGGCTAGCCCCTTCCCTGTCCAGGTGTAGGGGCAGCATGCAGTGCAGGGGCAGCACACAGCAGAATATAAGTGTCATGGAATCAGGAGGACAGCAAAAGGGTGCATACATCCTGTAGCTGTGGGATGAGGGAAAGCCAGAGGACATCTGCCTTTATGGTCTAGTGCCAGGGTGGGCAATTATTTGCGACTCAAGGGCCACATAGGTTGTTTTGATGAGTTGTCACAGGCTAGATCAGCATCCCTACCCTTCCCCTGCATAACAACTCACTTAAACTCCCTATGGGGCTTTGGGTGGTTGGGAAATAGTGTTTGGAAGCAGGAGGGGTGGGCAAGGCTGACATCATGGGGCCAAGTCAGAGAAGTGACAGCTTGGGGCCTGGGCCCAGGCTGAGCTGCAGTCCCCTCCCTGCACACCCTGCCATGTGGGGGAAGGGGTGTGCATGTATGTGGGGGGGGGGGCTGCTTGGGTGCTAGGTACTGGGAGCCAGCCAGGGGGTGCATGAAGCAGAGATCGCCTGGGCGTGCATTCTGCGGCTGCCCCCTGTGGTGCTCCAGATAGGGCCAAGCCCTGCCCAGGCAGCCTGCACCACACTCCTCCACCCTATGCCTGCCAGCCTGGCCCTAGCCAGTGCACACCTTCTGGCAGGGCTGTTCCCAGTGTGGCTGCAGCTGGCCGGGTGCTATTCTGCTCCACTCATTTCCAGCAGGAGCCACCTGGCTGAAGCTTCGCCTTCTACCCACCCAAAGCAGTGCAGGAGGAAGAGCCACTACTGGAGGTGTGAGGAGCACAGTAGCACCCAGCCGGCTGCCGCTGGACAGGGAACAGCCCTGCTGGAAGCTGCATGCACTGGCCAGGGCCCAGGCCAGTGGGGCTGTTCTGCTTCCCTCATCTCCAGCAGCAGTTCCTC